AATACAGATAAGACTATGTACAGAGCATTTAAAATTATGAACAAAACAATTAAAACTATGAACGAATCACTTGAACTATGAACAAAATTATATATAAGGGTTGAACAACATAAACATACCCTTTGAGAAATGAAGAACGAAAAAGAGATACAATGAGTTCATTTCATAAAATTAAAAAAAAAACTTTACTTGTATATATATATATATATATATATATATATATATATATATATATATATATATATATATATATATATATAAATAAACAGTTAATTATAATTGAATATAAAAAAATGTATGTATTGAAATTCCTATGTTGATAGTAGGAAATGCATGTACTATCTCTTACCTAGTATTATGATTATATGATTGCTACCCAATACATATATAATATTAATAATTAGCTGGTATCTGACTGTTTTTGGAACAGGAATTGGAATAGGTTTTTGAATGTGTATAGGGAAGGGGCATGTCGAATTTTGATCGGGAGGGAATTCCAAAAGTTGACAGAGCGGGCAATAAAGGAATTTTGGAATGAGGCAGATCTATGAGAAGGGATGTACAGGTCAGAGGGTCGGGATCTTGTAGTAAGGGAATGGATTGAGGACTTAAATTGGAGAAGGTTGTAGGCATAAGAAGGACGATGATCGGTAATGATTTGATAAAGGAAAGTGCCTAGGAAATATTGTCTTCTTAAGGAGGGGAAGAGCCACCCTAACTCAGTGTAGTGGTGGGAGACACGGGAGCGTCTCGGGGTCCCAATTACAAATCTTACGAAGCTATTCATAAGTCTTTTGAGTCTATCACGGAGTTCCACCGAGAGGCCATCGTACACCACACAGCTGTAGTCAAAGTGGGGAAAGATGAGAGAGGAAACTAGGAGTCTACGGGTATTTTGGGGTAGAAGATGGCGGAAGTGATGGAATAGTTTGAGGGTAGAAATTGCACGGCGGGATATATGAGAGATATGGTGATTCCAGGAAAGGGTTTGATCTATGAGAAAGCCTAAATTTTTAACAAAGGGATAGAAGGTGATGGGGTGGTTGTTTAGATAGAGTGAGGGAAAGTTGGTGTGGGATCTAACAAGGGGCTTGGAACCAATGAGAATGGCCTGGGTTTTGGCAGCATTAAGCCTTAATCCATTTAAGTTGGCCCAGGCACTAATTCGATCTAAATCTTCTTGAATTTTGGCAAATGCCACCAGTAACTCAGCAGGAGAAAAGGATAAATAGATTTGAGAATCGTCGGCATAAAGGTGGTGGGAACAATGGATGATTGAATCATTTAGGTCATTAATATAAGAGCTGAAAAGAAGAGGAGACATGCTTGAACCCTGTGCGACTCCAGAGGATAAAGGAAGGTAGGCAGATAGAGGTTGATTAGGTGTGGAAACTGCTTGGGTTCGTTGTGAGAGAAAAGACTGAAACCAAGAGATGGAACTATTGGAGAAGGATAATGATTTTAATTTGTTGAAAAGGATGGAATGGATAATGGAATCGAAAGCTTTAGAGAAATCAAGAAGTACAAGTATGGTTAGTTTTTTGTTATCTATTAGGTATATATGTATATATATATATATATATATATATAATATATATATATATATATATATATATATATATATATATACATATATGGGCCGGGGTAGCCGTACGGGCTAAAGCGCTTGCAATAGGTAATCAAAGTTAAACAACGTTGAGTGTGATCAGTACTTGGATGGGTGACCGCCCACCACGGAAAGACATGCTGCCTGAGATTCCTCCCCCCCACAGGTATGTGAGACCCATCAGCCTACTGGAGGCAACTCACACCGCAGAGAGGTGAGTGACACTGTGGTAGACATAGCTCCTGGTCCTCCAGGTTGGGGGTTGGGCATAGGGCTAATAACCCTATCCCGTCAAAAACACCATATTAAGAAACCTAAAACCAGCCTCGGAAAATCTGACTGTCTCAACATGGTAACGACTCTGGCTTTGTATAATGGAATCGATATCAGATCATGGAATGTTCGGAGCTTATACAGACCAGGAGCCACCCCAACGGTAGTTAATGAAGTAAAAAGGTACAACATACCGTTAAGAGCCATTCAAGAGGTAAGGTGGCCAGATGGTGGGAAACCACTATAGACGGCTATACACTGTTCTACACAGAGAGAAACGACAAAAATGGGACAGCTGGCACTGGATTTATAGTTAATCCGGCCGCAAGAAAGTCAGTAATAAACTCCACCCCAGTTAATAAAAGGATAAGTGTGCTGCGCGCAAGAGGTCGTTGGTTTAATATCACGATTATTAACGTGTATGCACCAACCGAAGAAAAAGAGGATGAGGTGAAGGACGATTTCTACGATCAGTTAGAAAAAGTTGTGGACCAGGCTCCAAAACATGACATAAAATTAGTCATGGGAGACTTCAATGCCAAGATAGGTCAAGAAATCCAATTTAAGCCCATTATTGGAGTCCAAAGTTTCCACGAAACTAGCAATGACAATGGAGTGAGATGCATTAGTCTGGCAGCAGCTAAAGGTCTAGTAGTAAGATGTACGATGTTCCTGCACAAGGACATACATAAGTATACCTGGGTAAGTCCTGAAGGAGCAAAAAGCCAAATCGACCATGTGCTGATAAACAAGAAGCATCAAAGCCCCATACAAGACATAAGGAGTTATCGTGGAGCAGACTGTGATTCGGACCATACTCTGATTAGAATCAAACTCTGTCAGAGGCTGAAACGAATCCACCGAAATGGGAACCAAGTGGAAAGACAGAGGTACAAAGTACGTAATTTGAAAAACCCTATAGTACAAGCTGAATTTCAAATTGAGCTAAAAAATAAATTCGAACCCTTGAACTCGGAAGGTCTCACGGTTGACCAACATTGGGAGGCACTAGAGTCAGGGCTAAAACAACCAGCTGAGGAAGAAATAGGGATTCAGGAAAAAAGAAAAGCCAAGAAATGGTTCACAGAAGCATGTGAAAAGGCAGTGGAGGAAAGAAGAAAAGTCCTCTGCTTACAAACTGATCAAGCTATGCTGGACAAATACACAGCCGCCAGGAAAAAGACAAACAAAATAATAAGAACAGCCAAAAGAGAATTCCTCAAAGAAAGATTACAAACTATTGAGGAAAACTGGCAGGCTGGAAATATATGCGAATTCTTCGCAGATATCAGGAAGGAAAGGGTAGGATATAAAGCGAGAAATACAGAAATATGAGGGAAAGATGGCACATTGACAGCATCAAAAGAAAAGATCCTAAGCATCTGGAAGGAACACTTCCAGCAGCTGCTTAATCTAGGGCACCCCACAAATAAAGAAGACATGGACCACACTGAGGACATCGACCCACTTGAGGTCGAAAAACCAGATATTCTGGATGTGGAAATAGCTATCGGCAGGCTTAAAAGAAGAAAGGCCCCAGGGATAGACAACCTACCATCAGAATTGTTCAAGGATGGGGGAGAAGAACTCAGAGCCAAGCTGTTAGATCTAATCCAGAAGATATGGGAGAAGGAACGGATACCAGAAGCATTGATCTGTCCTATCCTTAAGAAGGGCTCCATGTACGAATGAGGCAATTACAGAGGTATAGCACTTCTTTCGGTCGCCTATAAAATAATGACTAATATTCTGCTAAATCGGATATATCCGTATTATGAAAACATAATAGGCGACCATCAAACAGGATTCAGGAGAGGGAGGAGTACACTAGACCAGGTATTCATCCTGAAACAAGTACTTGAAAAATGAAGGGGAAGTAGATCAGGACGTACACCCATTATTTGTCAACTTCAAATCAGCCTATGACTCCGTTGATAGACACTGTCTCTGGAAGATCATGACTAAGCTGGGTGTTCCTGGGAAGTTAGTGAGGTTGACGAAGGCGTGTACAAATGATCCTAAATGTAGGGTACTAATACAAGGAGAAGTATCTGAAGCCTTTGGAAGTTCGAACGGGTTTGAGGCAGGGAGATGGACTCTCGCCGATGCTGCTCAACTTAGCACTAGAGAAAGTAATAAGAACAACATCACGCGAAGATGGAGGGGTGCACGTTGGAATGAAACACAAAATCCTAGAATATGCGGACGATATAGCTGTCCTCAGAAGTAATCAAGATGATATTGAGAGGCGCGCTCGGACTCTGTTAAAAGAAGCACATCAAATCGGACTACAGGTCAATGCAGATAAAACAAAATAAATGATAGCCTAAACATTCACCCTAATAACATAATCTGCATGGACTCTAAGTCATTCCAGAAAGTAGACAGATTCAAATACCTCGGCTCCACAATAACATCAATAAATGATCAACTAACAGATAGACTAGCGAATAACAAGTGCGAACAGATCTTTCTTCTCTCTTTCAAAGGTACTGAAATCCAGAAATCTCAAAATAAGAGTGTACAACGCCGTTATTAAGCCAGTTCTGCTGTATGGTTGTGAAACCTGGGCTCTAACCGGCACATTAGAAGCCAGAATTGAGATTCGAATGAAAAGTTCTACGTAGGATAACAGGACCTATATGGGACCAGAACCTTGACACATGGAGGAGAAGGAACAATAAAGAACTGCTGAAAGAAACGGGTCAGTCAATATCTCATTACATGAAGGCAAGGAGGTTAAGATGGGCAGGGCAAGTAGCTTGTAGTAATCCATCAGGACGCCTCTATACGACAATGAATGCCAGAGTAGTAAGCAAGAGACCACGTGGGAGGGCAAAAACCAGATGGATAGATAGGATAAACAAAGATACGGCTGAGCTTCATGCCGCAAACTGGAAAGCAATAGTTCAAGATAGGCAGAGGTGGAGAAGGCTGGTTCAGGCGGCCAAAGATCTACAAGGTCTGTAGAGCCAACCAAAAAAAAAAAAAATATATATACATACATACATACATATATATATGTATATATATATATATATATATATACACACACACATATATACGGCAAAGAAACATATTTCTACGTTCAAATATATTTTTAAAAAAGAAGTAATAATACCTCCTGTCCAGCAACATCATCCCAATGAACAGGAGTCCCTCCTTCTAATATTTCATCCATAACGATCTGTGCAAGCTTAGGATCAACACCTTTTATTTTTGTAGATTTTGTAACTGAACCTTTTAATTTAGCATTTGATTTGTGAACTGGAGATACACAAGGGCCCTAAAACAATAAAATAAAAATTACAATTTCATTTTTAATAGCATCTAAAAGGTACTCATTTAATATATATGTGTAATTTAAAAGATGATGAATTTAAGCAGGAATACTCTATACATTTATTTTCTGATAAGAGGTATAAAGGATAAATTTAACCCTTTAGTTGCGCGGAGCCTGAATCAAGGTCAGATCCTGTGTGCACTGGGTACTGAAGGTCAAGCCAATCCCGTATGCGCAGGATTTATTCACTGAATTGCTTCAGTATTTTTACAGTTTTCACATAAAAATATGTTCATATTTCAATAAATAGTTAATTATTTTTATTTTAAACTTTCTTTTAAATTTTAAATTCTCTTACATTACTTTAATTTTAAACTTACTTTTAATTTTATAATTTATTAATTGTCTTACATTACTGTAACATTTACAAAAAACATTTCATTTTATGATAAATTTTATTACATATACCTCAATTTAAAAAACTAATTATACTTTTGAAAAGAAAAATTAAATTTTTTTAAAAAAATTAAAAATGGGTGACAAATAATCAGGACGCAGTCTTTTTTTAAAAAAATTTTTTTTAATTTTTTATTTATGCCAACGTTTCAACCGAAACATGTGGGTCATCTTCAAAGCGTTCTTTGAGCACTGAGGGTGTTCAAGTGATTAGTACTTAAAATTTATTTTCAACTTTCATACTTCAAATCTCTAACAACTGCTGTTAGTTTTAGAGCTACACTGTGTTCAAAAGGCTAGAGAAAGGTGATATAGGGGTGGAAGCAGGTATACGAAGGGAACCCACCACCCTAAAGGATATCCGCGACTAAATAATACATCTCACACTATTTAGTGGTTCCAGCAACAACTTATGACTCATGGGGTACCCGGCAGAGAACTCTATAAGGAGCAAGAGTATTGGTTTTGCGAAACTAAACAATGAAAAGCTGAAGCCAATATATTGGTTCTGCCCATTAGGAATATGGTCTTTCTAGAGCCACTATAGTGGCATTGGCTTGAGTATAGAGCTTGAGTCATTATATTGGCTTTGTGCATCTAAAGGGTTAAGAAGTGGTACTTAATAAATTTATACCTTAACATATTCAAGAGAATTTTTATGTTAAATAATAATAAAGTAACATTAAATAGGCATTGAATCATGGAAGGCTAACAGTCCAAAACAAAGTAGACTTAAGATAGTGCTATGTGATGCCCTGAATGCTATAAACATTAGCACAAATGTAGGTTAAATACTTAATTAATTATAAATTATAATAATAATAATAATAATAATAAGGCTTAGCGAACCCGAAGGTTCGATGCCGACACCACCAATCGCTTGTTACACACCTCCCTCCACCGTTCGCCATCCAAACCCAGTCCCTTCAGATCGGCTTTAATGCAATCTTCCCACCTACGGTTCGGTCTACCCCTCGGACGCTTACCATTCGGCACAGCAAATGTAAGCCCAACAACTTTACAAGCCCATATGATTTGCCGCGATGAAATTACCTCAATTATATTACCCGGATACAGCTCACGCAATTCGGCGTTGTGTAACCGTCTGAACTCTCCGGTTAACTCATCCTTCTTCGGTCCGAATATTCTACGCAATACTTTATTTTCAAAAACCTTAAGAAGCTGCTCATCCCTTAATGTAAGCGGCCAAGTTTCACATCCATAAAGAACTGTAGGCAAGATAATTGTTTTATAGATTCTAATTTTTAAGTTTCGGGACAAGAGGCGCGAACTAAGTAGTTTTGTCACAGAAAAATAACAAGCATTCCCCGCCTTCAGTCTAACCTTAATCTCTTCTTCAATTTCGTTTTTTCTAGTTATCGTAGAACCTAGATACCTAAATTTATCTACCTGTTCAAACATATTACCATCTATACCGATATCACCAGTAGTATCGCCATTTTTGCAGCTAACCATATATTTTGTTTTATCCATGTTTATTTCGAGTCCTAGTTCTTTACCGGCTTTCATTAACGTTGTCGTATTTAGTTTTATAGTTTCAACGTCTTCGCTTAACAGTACCAGATCATCAGCATAGCCCAGCACGGATGTTGTCCCGCCCAGATCCAACCCTTTCTCGGTTCGCATTACCTCCCTAATGGCATGTTCTAATGCCAAATTGAACAGGACAGGCGAAAGAGAATCCCCCTGTTTTAAGCCCGAACGAACCTCAAATTTTTCGGACAAATTATTACCGATTCTAACTTTATTGAGTGTCTCCGTCAAGCACATCCTGACTAGATTTACTAGTTTTTTTGGAATCCCCTGCTCGATTAGAATATTATACAGTTTCTGGCGGTCAATAGAATCGTAAGCCTTTTTAAAATCTATATACAGCTGGTGAACAATACCGTTATACTCCAATTTTTTCTCTAATATTTGCCGTAAAGAAAATATTTGATCAATAGTCGAACGATTCCGTCTAAATCCGCATTGGTAGTCTCCGATAATTTCCTCGGCGTATTCCGTGATTCGACTGGTTAAGATTAAAGTGAATATTTTATAACATACCGGAAGGAGTGAAATTCCTCGATAGTTATTACAATCCGTCCTCGGACCCTTTTTGTGAATCGGAATAAGAATAGATTCTTTCCATTCTTCAGGTAATTTCTCGTTCACCCAGATCTTTTTAACCAACCGATGTATTTTAGAAACTCCAGCTTCCCCGCATGCCTTAATTAGTTCAGTAGGAATATTATCGATTCCCGCTGCTTTATATGATTTTAATTTTCCGATAGCTACTTCAACTTCCTCTTTACTTGGTCCTTCTATTAACGGTTCAGCACTCTGGTACTCAGAAGGAGGACACAGATCATAATTTCCCGTATTTAAAATATTGTCAAAGTGGTCCTTAAACTTATTCAATATGTCAACCGGATCGGTCAGAATATTGTTATTATCATCCCTAATTCCAGACGTTACGGGCCCTACATATTTACGTGATCTGTTTATACCTTTGTACATGTCTCTTACGTTATTTTCGATTCTATTAGTTTCTATTTCAATTATTTTATTTTTAAGATACTCCCTTTTTTTATTTTTGAGCAATTTTGTCGTTTCGTTCTTTGAGATTCGGAAGTATTCCAGATTGTCTTCGCTAGGATTATTTAGAGCTTTTAATTTAGCGGCTTTTCTTTTTTCACACATGTTTAAGCAATCTTCATCAAACCACGGTTTGTTATTCTTATTTTCCTTTTTTCCTAGACACGAGTTACCGACCGCTTTAATATTATCTCTGATCTCTATCCATAACTTGTCAATATCCTCGTGGTCCTCGTCAGGAAGCTCTAAAGCTTCAAACCTATTCTTAACATCTAGCTCGAATTGGTTTCTAATTGATGGATTTTTTAATTTTTCCAAATTAAAATTCTCAAAATCGAAACGGTTTTCTTTTCTCTTTTTTATATTAAGTTTTTGTCGAAGTTTCGCGATTACTAATTCATGATCCGACCCACATTCTGCTCCGCGATAAGACCGTACATTAATTATACTGCTTTGCCAGCTGTGTTGTATCAAGACATGATCGATTTGATTTCGTGTTTGCGAATCCGGTGATGTCCAAGTATATTTATGAATATCCTTATGTTTAAACGTCGTACTTTTAATTATCAGGTTTTTCGAGATGGCAAAGTTTATCAGACGGATCCCATTATCATTACTATATTCGTGCAAACTTTCTTTACCAATCGTCGGAATATAAACTTCTTCCCTTCCTACCTTTGCGTTCGCGTCACCTACAATTATTTTCATGTAGTTTCGCGGTAGTTTATCATAAACCCATTCGAGTTTATCGTAAAATTCACTTTTGACTTCATCGTCACTGTCTTCGGTCGGACAATGTATGTTTATTAATGCGATTTTAAACCAACGTCCCTGAAATGTAGCTACCGAAATTCTATCACTAAAGAATTGTACGTCCCTCAAAGCGGATAGTAATCTACTCCTAATTAGAAACCCGGTACCTAAACAATGATTCCCGCTTCCTCCGTACCAAATAGTGTACTTTCCTTCCCTCATCGAGCCCTCCCCTGGCCAGCGAACCTCTTGCAGAGCCACGACATCCAAATTGTACCCATTTACCTCATTCGCGACCGATTTTAGCCCCCCTGCTGTGTTTAAACTCCTTACGTTCCACGTACCAATATTTAAATCCCTATATTTCAACTTGCGCCATGAATCCCCTAAAGCAGTCCCCACCCGGAGACCCGAACGGGGGACTAGTTTACCTCCGGATAATGAGCGTTTTACCTTAGGGAGATCCATGACTTTTTGTGGTGTTTAGTGAACTAAAGATATGTGAGTAGGGCGTTCAATCCTACGTCACACCCTCCAGCAAGTCTGGTGGGCCCCTACCTCCAGCAAGTCTGGAGGTCCCTTCCCTCCAGCAAGTCTGGAGGGCCCCTCTCATTGTTGGTCAGCGAGTCCATCGGACTTAGCCGGGAGGAACTTCCAAGGAATTTCCACCGACCATCCCCACATCCGCCACCCGTGGGACGCTCCCCATACGCGGTAATGAGCCCGCGCGAGGAATTATAAATTATAAACTAAGTATATTTAACTTCATGTATGAATTGTAGTTATTTGTTTCTTTTTTGTCACTGAATACTAATATATTTAATTCATTAGTTTCCTAAATAATTATACTGTAAAAGAAAATACAGTTAATGTAAAATAAATACTTCCCATAAATGAATGGTATATTAGTAGATAAAAACTCTTTTAGAAATGCACGAATAAATCCTAGTCTTGAGTAAGCAACTTAAATAAAAAAATAAGTCTTTTTTTTTTTTCTTATGCCAGTCGTTGGTCATTTGGCCATCCGACATCTTGCTGCCCAGTATAATTTAGACTTTCTGATATGTATATTTGAAAATATTTTTTCTCTTATGTCCCTCAAGGCTGGACATGCGTCTAGATGGTCTGCATCCATTGTTCCTCGATGACACAATTTACAGGTAGGATCCTCAGCCAAGCCTATCTTGTAGAGATGACTCTGCAGATAGTCGTGACCATGGCCAGGCGGAAGCAGGCAACTGCATCTCTTCTCGGCAGCTCAGCTGGAATCGGATTATCCTTCAACCACTCGTAATGCTTCCCTTCCACTTTGCCGAAATGTGCTTTTCTTGTTTCTTCCTTCACTACCATCTTTACCATTCGCCGTATTGAGTCGTAGGGTTTTGGATGTATCGCCTGAGGCAAATCTGTTCCTCGCTTGGCAAGAATATAAGCCTCAACGTTACCCAGAATCCCACAATGGCTGGGGATTCACTGTAGGACCACATTGGTGTCTCGGTGTACATAAAAAAATAAGGAAATAAATAAATATTACAAACCTACTCTAAAAAAAAATTAAAACCAATTATAAATTATATAAATCTGATATAATTATAGTTATATTATATACCATCTGATAAATTATCTTCCTTAAATTGTACTAATGAATTACATAACCTTTGTATCAAAAATGTAATAGAAGTGAAAAAAATATTTTAATTAAAATCAAAATAAATCTAATAAAAATAAAAATTACAATGAGATAACACTTCAATAAGAACGTAATCGGTGGTATTTAAAAAAAAAAGATTTAATTGCAGAACAAATTAAAATACTGGACCAAAAATCAATAATATAGCCACTTGGTGGATAAAAGATTCATATCAAAGTAAAAATTCTGCATATACATTGTCTACTGGGCATTAATATCAAGCCCAGGTTCCCTTGCAGCTCCCAGGAACTCCTCCAATGCACCTAATAAAGCTTGAAGTGTTCTCGCTGAGATTACTTCATCTGCAAAAGCCAGATGTTGTGTCAGTCTGTTGAAAGTGGTACCACCTGGATTTTTTCTTATTTTACGAATTTTGGACTCTAATACAAGGTTGAACAGCAAAACTTACAGTGGGTCACCTTGGCACAATCCTTTCTCTACATTACGACCTTTAGAGCATCTCCGTCAGATCTTGACCTTACAGGATGTATTCTTTAGCCATGTAAATAAGCCTAATAAGTTTTCTGGGGATCCCTAAAGAATGCAGGCATTTGTACATATTCCTCCTGTAAATATTATCATAGGCCTGTTTGAAATTGATAAATACATGATGTAGAGTTACATTACACTCATTTGATTTCTGTAGCATTTGCCTTACTGAGAATATGTCATCAGTGGTAGCCCAACTTTCAGACCATTCTCTTGGCATCTTTTCAGAAGTCGATACATCAAAAATAATCTGGTACACATCTTCTCAGATGTCCTCTCCTGCATTCTTAACTACTTCCGCATGTATACCATCCCCTTGCATTGCCTTGTTATTTTTAAGGTCCAAGATAATTTCACTGATCTCCTCTATTTCAGGTGGAATATCATCTTTTTCTAGTTACTCCTCAAAATGGTTCCTTGAACCTATCGGGTGGAGGACCTATTCTTTCACTCCTATTACTGCTATAAAGTAGCTCTGCCACCTACCTAGAACTTCCTCTTATCACGAAGTAGGTTACCCTGTACATCCCTTATGGAGTCGGATCTTGGAGTAAATTCATTCTGGAACTCTTTTACACCTTTATAAAATTTGCTTGTTTCCTTAGCCTCGTACGTTGACATTCATCGTCGAATCAGTCATTCTTAAGTGCTTTTGGTCGCTGTTCCAAGATCTCTTCAGCTGCTTATCCATGAGTTATCTTTAGTGATTCGAGGTCTTTAGCACAGATCTTAATCCTGAGGCCTGTTCCCACACTGGTCACCAGGGCCGAAGGGGTCTCTCCAGCACATACTGGGATCTACAGAGCGAAATTCCAATGATCTACAAAGTAGACTCTGCTCCGCTCTGTTTACCCACACCTCAAGTTTGCCCACTAAAGATTTTAGCATTTTATTTTCTGAAGTGAGTCTTCAAGGTGTTTCGCTTGGGCTTCAAGGTGGCCTTCTATTTTTGTGAACTTGTCATTCAGCTCGAAACTGAGCTCATTGTATTTTTCAAATGTTTTTAGATTTTTTATGTCCTCATTGACCTGGACAATGAGCTTATTAACAGCCAAGAGAATATCGGATGCAGAGGATTCTTTGGTGTCACTCCTGGATAGGCTAGCTGACTTATCTCTAGCTGGGGCAGTCTTTTTACTCTGATCTCCTTTTCATTGAAATTATAGCATTTGCCATGAAAAATTATGCGGCATTTATTACAACACAAATTACATTTGTCCTCTCTAGAGATAGAGCCATCACAGATTGAGCAGTGCACCATTTTGCTATAAAAATAAAAATATTTACTCACGAAAGGCACTGTTGGATAACTATAATGCTCTTCGGCTTGATTAGCTATCTCTCTTTGGTCCGCAGCAGGTATACACATACATTCTTCTATGTTTTTATGAAATGAGAGAGGCGGCTATACTGGATTAAAAACCAACTATACCAACTATAATAAATATAAAATAAACAATAAAATGTACACAAATAAATGACAGAGAATCACGGGAATGATGTGCAATGTTTCCCGTCTCTAGCCAGACTGTTTTATACTTTTAAGTATATTTTAGGTACTTTGGCATGCTATATTTTCTTCTGCTATATTATTTAAAAAATAAATAAATAATTACATGTCAATAGAACATGTGTGTATGCACGTACATGTGTGTGTGTCTGTGTGCGTGTATATGAATAAATAAATCAAACATACAGAAAACTGCCTTCTGATTGCTGGAGGAGTATTCAGAATTTTCACAGTTGGTGGAGTGTTGATTGTAAAGGAACGTGAGCCCATTGATCTGGGAAGAGTCTTACTTTTAACAAGATTATTCATAGTAGAATTACTTCCACTCAATAACATTTTCTTCTCAGATGCTAAAAAAACAAATATTTTTATAAATGAGTAAGAATGTTGAACTGAATACAGTTATAAAAAAAAAAAATATATATCTATATTGAATTTAATATAACTATAAATTTATGTATAAATATAATTTTCAATATTTTTAAATTCAACTGGCACTACACCCTAGGCCACCTGTAACATCGATAACCATATCTGTCTGATGTAGTGTCACTCTCCAGTTACAGATGCCCAGGATGTGGCAACAACATCAGCCCAGTCCAACCTAGGCTGGCAGACTCATCACCATCTACACAACCATTCCTCCATCATCTTCCTCAGAATTTTATTCTGAGTTATCCTTGCCATTTGCCCCAGCTACCTTGGCTGATTTATCTTATGATACTGGTGATAATGGTGTCATTGTTAAGGGCCATCAATTCTGTATGAGTGCATTGTATCCAGCCTCCATCATTAAAGATCACCCTGTAAATTCTGCATAGAATTCGGCCCACAAATCTAGCAAGGATCAATTCTTGGGTTTGGGGAAGGACCCAGCATTCTGATCCAGAGGTCAGGTTTGATGAGTATTATAAAAGCACACTTTGCTTTCAATGTGCCTCTAGAGTCCATAATAGCATATATTTGCAGTCATTGTTGCCAATTGAAGAATTCAACTATTTCAAAGTTGTACTGACCAATACACCTGGCCATATTGTTGGTCTCCACCAATAAGGTTTGCAGACATTTATTTAGTCTTAATTTCATTTATAGAGAGTCCGATGCTCTTTATATAGGTTGAGAAAAGGCATCCCTTATCGTTTCAAAAGTTGTCCCAACCACACCAACATCTGCAAAGTCTAGGATCATAATGTAAACAACTGTTCCTCCGAATTGGACATCGAATGTTTTCACAGCACATTCCAGGCTGAAAAAAAAAAAGATGCTTGACAGTCTGATTCCTTGGTAAATAAGAAATCTTTTTGATCTACCTCCTTGGACTCATACAAAACACTTCAATGCTTTGGTTGTCAAGTGGACAAAAGAATTAATTTCACATTCCTAACTCTAGCATCTCCTTGTAGAGTTCTTCTCTTGCAATACTGTCATAGGTGGCCATGAAATCTATAAATGAGTGATGGGTGCTGATCCCGAATTTCCTTGGCCTCTCTGGTAAGATTCTGAGAGGGAACATCTGATCCATGGTAGACTTCCCTTGCATGAATTTTGCTTGATAGCAAACAATTTCAAAGCTAAGATATTTTAAATAATTTAGTGAGAGAAGACAGCAAAAATATTTTGCAGGACGTTTCGAAGCACTGCTTCTTACATAAATCTTTAATAAAATTTTGGAAAGTTTAATATGAAATACAGGATTTGTTGACAACAATTTTTTTTACAATAGTTAAATATGCCTAGCTAATAAAATATAAAATGATTAAATATACGTGCTAGTTATATATAAATTATATCACTATTTCATTATTGGAATTAAGGTCATAGAAATTATGTTGAAATTGGGTTAATTATATGAGAAGAAACTAGATAAGAGGACCATTTCCTCAACTCTGTTGTCAACTCCCCTACTTATTTCACACCAAATCCATGACCTTGAATCAAATTTAATTCATTTTTTATGTTATGTAAACAGTAAAAAATTGGACTTTTATATCCATAATAAATAGATTTGCCATAGTTGTATTAGACTTTTTTATTTTCCTAAAACGACATAAGAGAAAATTATAATTGGATTATTTGTAAAACTATAGTTGCAAAATAAATTAAATGGATCAAAATTACTTATATTATGCTTCTATATTTTTTCAGTTAGCTTATTTTATTTACATACCAAATCTAACAAAAGACATTTTAAACTAAATATTATATAAAGTTTATTATTTCAAGGAAAATATATTTAACCCTTATTTACTTATTAAGAACCTTTATATTTCATTTTTGTATTTAGATATAGAGTGCTACCAGTGGGTAGTTTCTCAACAAATGATTTCATGCTATTATATTCTATTGTTCACATTTACTGAATGTATTTTTACTTGTAATGCAGTTGTAAATATCATCAATAAATAAAAAAAAAAAGTATTTAGATGACATTAAATACAAAAATGAAATAAAGGTTTTTAATAAGTAAAGAAGGGTTAAATATATTTAAATAGCCTAGGTCAGTGCCGCTTTTCCACCGATTAAGTGCATCGTTTAAAGAATCCTTGCAAATATGTTAAAAATTAACGAGTAATTTAGAAAGAGGAATGTATTTTCTAGATGCTTTATACTAAGGCATTTTTCATTATTGTTGGCTGTTTAATAACAAATGACACTTAATTTTCATCATTAATTTAAACGACTTGAAAGAATTGACTTTACTGGTATTTTTTATTGCCAGGACCAATTAGTTTTTAATTTTTTTTATGTTTTATTATTCTCTGACTTTCCAGCTTTAATAAAAGACCAATAGTGACAAAATTAAGCCAATTGCTGAATCTCAGTGAACGATAAACCAAACCAAATCAAATCAAAGGAATCGACGCCGTTTTAGGGCAGTGCGGCCACATTTTTTTGTGAGACCATTGGCTTTTTTTTAATAAATAAATATAAGGAACATAGCGATATGAATTATGTAAGGATGTGAGTGGGAGATACACAGTAGGAAGGTCTGGAAAACGGTCTACTCTCACCCATCAAACCTCCCTCCCCCCCCCCCCCACAAAATATGAAAATCACTGACTCATATCAGACAGGTTATTGAAGATAAAAGACAATTGCATATGATAAAAAATGAAAAATAGTTTAAAATATTTCAAACTTTGAAAATAAATAAAATAGCTGTATCTCAAAAACTATTTGATGTACCGAGCCTGTTATGGTCTTAAATTGTAGAATATTTAATCTAGTTTAAAAATGTACAGAATGTTTTTTGTCAATAACGTGCTCCTTCATGGTTATAATTAGAAAAAAATGAAAAAAGTGCGAAAAATTAGCAGTTTTTGGAAATTTTGAAAAGTAAAGGGGGGCACCGAGGTCGAAAACTTGGATTTTGCATCTCAGTCACATCCTATACAAGAAAATAAAAAGAAACCTTCTACCCCCATTCAATGCAACTTACGATGTACAAGGTTACTGAGCTAATATATACTCTTGGAAAAATTTGAAGATTTTATAATAAATTAAATATTTTTACTCACAGATCACAGAGTGAAAGGAAAAATTTCTTGGGTGAAAGTCAGGAAGTTATGTGCTTCAGGGTGTGATGTAAAAGGTGTTAAAAACTCAACTTATTTTAAACATTATTTATCTTTGCAAATATGCATCAGAAAAAATCAGGCCTTTTTGTGTTTTCATTTTTATAACCTAATCTTTAAACAATAAAAATTGAAAATTCGTGCAAGTATCTAATTGATTTACTTTTATATGTATTAAAACAAAAGTTAACAGTTCTTAATATAATTTCATAATAGTATGATATTAAAAGTGTTAGAAGTATATTACTTACTCAATAAATTTAATCTATCTTTAGCCATAAGTAGGTTTGTTTTCATTTTATCTTGAAGCCTTTTAGCTCGTTCCCATATCTCTCCTTTACCATTCGAACAATCAATGGCGATACCATTTTCTAACTCATCAATACCCTTTTTGTATAATTTGACAGCAATTTCTTTATTACCTAAAATAAAAAAAAGGAAACTAATATTAATAAACATAATAAATTACAACACACTGAATGATAAAATTGCATAGTAAATTATTTAAAGCAATTGAAGTGTTTTCTCAAAAATGAACTATATCTACTAACTGTTTTGATTGGTAGCTGAGTCATTCCATGTTAAATCTAACAATGGTTTGGAACTTGAATTCTCAGAAATAAATTATTTTTTGCATAAATAACTGAATTAAGTTTAATATATCATTAGGAATAAAATGTAAAAGTAAGTTAACTAAGAGCATCAGCTTTCAAAATTCATTCACCTACATTTGTCATTCTAAGTACAGTGCAATCAATGTGATCTTGGGCCACCCACCATCTGTGCATAACATTAGTACAAAGGTACTATTTTTTGTACTGTTAAGATAAAATAATAACAAAATTTAGATTTTTTCTTATGAAATAAATTTAAAAAAAAGAAGGGAAAATTGATAGCTCCAAGTTTCGAATCATTTAAAATCTTATAGTTCTAAAACTATTAGCCATATAGAGCTCAAGATAGTGTCATTATTTTCATAATTTCGAATATTACTGAACTTTACTATATAAATCTTAAAAATGTTTCAAAATTAAAAAAATTATTTAAACTTAAATTTAAAATATTTTTGAAAAAATTAATATGTGTATCTTATAAGAAGATATAGTCCAAATTTCATGATAGTAATCTTATGGGTTCTATTTTTTAAAAAAATTGTGTAATAAGTTAAATGGGTACATGTCAGATAGCTGGGCGGGACGAAATCTCCCTTGTTATCTAATGTTGTATCATATAACTTCCCTTCCTTCTTATCTTGCATAAGCTGTGAGTTATTCCATTGTTTATTTTTTTTCCATTTGTGTGATTTTCGTTAAATTATGGTACATTCTGGGAATTACCGTCTTCAGAAGAAGATGCTATCAAATATTTCCAAAACGCCAGGATAATTCCAAACGTGAAATTGTGTCAAGAAGGTCATCAAATGAAGTTAGACAGGAAGACGAAATGGAGATGCTTTCGTACCACTTGTAACAAAAACGTTTCTATAAGGAAAGGAACGTGGTTAGAGGGGTCGAGGATTTCGTTTTTAACGGATTTAAAATTAATTCATGGGGGTCTCATAATTTAACAACAATACAGTGGGGCAAAGAGCAGCTGAAACTATCCAAGTCAACTATGATAACGTGGAACAAATTTTTAAAAGAGCTTTGTGCCCATAACAGGTGAAGTAAAAAAATTGGAAGACCTGGCAAAGTCGTTGAAGTAGACGAGTCTTTTTCCTAAAAGAAAAAATCATGTAGTGAGAGTTCTACCTGAGCAATGGATATTTGGCGGAGTTTGCCGAGAAACAGACGAGTGTTTTATCGTCAAAATAAACGACAAAAAGGCAACAACTTTATTACAAGGTATTAAAAACAATATAAAAGAGGGATGCACCATTTATTCTGACTATTGGAAAGGATAAAACACCCACAACTGAATCAAACAAACTATAATCATTTCCAGGTGAATCACCAGTATAATTTTGTTGATCTATCAAGTGGGGTCCATACTCGACACATAGAACGATTATGAGGCTCAGCTATGTGGAGAAATAAGAAACATAGAGGAACTGCCAGACAACACCTCGATTCATATTTATGTGAATTTTTGTGGCAGCCGGCTCACAGAGAAGAGGACCCGTTCCTCGCTATTTTAAATAGCATTAAACTATTTTGTCTATCAAAATAAATGAAGTGAAAATAAAATTGTTTTATATGTACATATGTTGTTTATAGTGTTTATATTGTTCCTTTTATATGTACATATGTTGTTTAAGTGTTTTTTTATAATTTCATTTTTTTTTTATTATTACATTTATTTTTGTCCATTTCATATATGTGTAGTAAAATTAAAGTGTTTTGTTATTGTTGTGGGAATCATTACATTTCTTTTTGTCTATTTCAATTTCAAATCAAACTGTTTTGTTATTATTACATTTGTTTTCATCTATTTAATAAATATTTAGTAAAATAAAAGTATTTTTTTATTATTACATTTGTTTTTGTTTAAAATTTTAATAATATGAATATAATACATTAAATCTGAATACTAAGATAGGAATTATCAGTGTTCAGGTTATAAAGATTGGCAGATAGCAGTCGGTCCCGCCCAGCTATCTGACAAGTACCGTTAAATGCTTCAATTTTAGTGAACATAACAGCATACATTTAAGATGCTCTGGCATCTTTAAGTCATTACATGGCTAATGGATACTTCATCAACGAATCATACGTTGTGCTCTATTTAAATAATTTATCTCTACTTTGGAACTTCATAGATATTTCATTCTTCAACAAATATTTAGTTTTACCAGTTTCAGTGACTGGTTTGTTATAATTAAAGTTTTGTGGCACTGCCCAAGTCTAACAAGGAGTGGTTATGGAGGTGGGGTCACCGATTTCAATGAAACTTTTTTTGGTGATACTAGGTCAACAAATATTAGGCCCATGTCCAAGGGTTCTTGCTAATGCGCCCTAAGAACCAAGAATTTTTTTTTAATTTTTTTTTTTTTGTATTACTGTTTTCTGGCTCTACTCTACATGGATTTCTAAGTTATTATAAATCAATCGATTTGTTTTTTTTTTGTGTAAAATAAAAAGAACATTGCTAACTGTACTAACCGAATTCTTATACATAATAAAATACAAAAATCCATAGATGCTTCCAGTAAAGTAGGCCCAGTAAATTTTTGCCATGAAAAACGATTCAGATTCGTTTTTAGCTTTGCCATGATCAAAACTATAATCGAAAAATCTAAATTTTTTGCTCAATATACAGCCTTCTATCAATAGAGCTTATGAGATCCATATTCCTTTTTTATTGCAAAACAAACTATATAATACTAAACTGGTTCTATATTAACTAAACCGGTCGGGTACTGAAAATAGGATTACATGCACAAAATTTGGTATTTTGTCGAAATTCGATTCGAAAATAAGAATAAAGCATGTATTGTATATATTATACTCAGATTATACCATGAAATATATTTTTTGGTGATAAACAAAGATGATATTTGTTTTCTCTTCTCTAAAGACCTTTAAATAAGAATTTTTGTTGCAATCCAAAAATCTAAATTTTTTGCTCAATATTAGGCTTTCTATTAATAGCTCATATGAGAACCATCTATGTTTACAGCTTCATAGTACATATTAGTTCAGCAAAATATATTTATTTTTATTTTAATCAGCCACTGATCCTCCAAGTTAAGGGAACAATTACACAAACATACACCCAGTACACTAATACGGCACACTACACACACCCCCACACTTTACAGACAAAGGTCACAAACAGTATACCTTCTTTAGGTAGCTGCCCCAGATGGGGCAGCAAGTCATGAAGCTCAAAGGTGGCAGCCCCCACCTGATTCGGTGGCAGGGTTTGGGCTGATAACCCCCTCACCTTAAAACCCTACTATTACGAAACCTGCAACAAGGAAAGCTGGACAGATTATTCGAAAACGACTCAATGCTTGCCTAATGGAACCTATAATATGACAATGGAATGTTGTCTCCTTATCTCTTATTTCACCAGGAGCTCTGTATCAGCTTCTAACACAACTAAACCGTTATCATGTTGTCTAAGCTGCAATCCAAGAAATAAGATGGACGGGTCAAAGAGCCTTTAAGAAGAAAAGTCATACCATCTTCTAAAGCTGGGATGATAAGAAACACATATTTGCAACTGGATTCATATTGAGCAAGAAGACAAGTCAGTTAGTAATCGGCTTTGAACCAATTAGAAAAAGGATCTGTTATCTACAAATAAAATGAAAATTATACAATTATAGTATGGTTGGTGTCCATGCTCCGACTGAACAATCAGATGATGAAAAAATGCCTTTTAAAGTAGTATGGAGCAACAGCTTGATTCCTGTCCAAGAGCTGATGTTAAGATTATGCTGGGAGACTATAATGCGCAGATAAGAAAGGAGAAAGAATATTAAGCCCACAATTGGTCTACATAGCATCTATCACCACACAAATAATAATGGAATGAGGATAAACTTTGTTGCCTCAAAGGGACTTGTGGTTGGCAGCACTATGTTTCCCACAAAAAAATTCATCCAGCAACATGGTGCTCCAATGATGGATTCACATGTAACCAAACAGAACATCTGTTAATAAGTAACCGTCATATCTCTAGTTTGATGGATGTGAGTTTTCAGAGACTTCAACATCGATTCTGACCACAACCTCACAATCTCCAGGTCAACGGCAAGGGTTTCATATATCAGAAATCAAAATCAACATTGAAAAACTGAAGGATCTCGAGATTAGACAACTCTTTATTGACAGCATGAATGTCAGAATTAAAGATCTATATCAGGCGATAGCATGGATCAAGAGTGGCAAAAATGCAAAGAAACCATGGAAGAATTGGAAGTTGGTATGCTAGGATATCAAAAACCAACTAAGAAAGCGCTCTGGTTTGTCGAAGAATGGCAAAGAGTGACCAGCCAGAAGAACCTTGATTATAGAACAATGCCACACCAAAGGCTTACAAGAAGATCAGTAGAAGAATACAGATCCAGAAGAAGGGAAGAGAAACACACACATCAGAGGAAAAAAAAGGCATGGCAGCGGGAACGCCTTCAGCAAATGGAAGAACGGTGAAACAATAATGAGGTTAGAAAATTCTTTCAAGAAATAAACTGTAGCTGACAGACACTCAAACCTAGAATAAATGCTTGTAGAGACAATGAGGGTAACTTCATCACAAATATAAGACAAGGTCTGGAACAGCGGTGGCATTACTTCGATGTCCTTAATGAGGTAGCAGAAGAAGAAAGAGAAAAAATAGAGATGGCCCTAGGAAAATTGGAGCCTTCTGATATGGCCAAGGTCTTTGAAGAGGTGGAAGAGTTAAAAAATAATAAAGCACTGGGACCAGATGGACTCTCAGCAGAACTGTTTCAGTATGGAGCAGAATAATTACTAAACTCCAATGCAATAATGAGGGTGCAATGCACAGGGATTGTTCAGGGTTGCATGTATTTTCTTCGATTTGGCCCTTGAAAGTGCAGTATGGAAATCTGGAATACAAGTTGGAGGAACTATATTTAATAGATCTTCTATGATTTTGACTTAGATATAGTCGGAATAACTCCTACAGATTTAGAAAAAGTTTTTATCAGTCTCCAGATAGCAACAGCTAGAGTGGGTTTAGAGACTAATGAATCAAAAACCAAAATACATGCATGCAGGCCCACAACTGAATGTGCACAAACCATCGCATTATACAGCTGGAAGCTTTTCATTTGAAAGGGTGAAAGAATTTGTCTATCTTGATTAAAAATTAAATAAAGATAATGACATAAAAGCAGAGATCTATCACAGAATCATGTCCGGAAATAAATGCTATTTTAGATTACTGAAGCATTTCAGGAGCAGGGCTATTTCTCAAAACACAAAGGTGCAACTTTGCAAGACCCTGGCAAGACCAATTCTCACTTATGCCTCCGAATGCTGGACAATACCCAGTTCACAGGAAGCCCTTTTCCTAAGCTTCAAGAGGAGAATATTGAGAAGAATTTATGGCCCAGTTTGCATCAATGGAATCTGGAGGATAAGGCCGAATGCTGAGCTAAAAGAGCTCACATATCGTAAGGGTGATTAAAGTAGGCTTTGATGGGCAGGTCATTTAATTAGAATGACCCAGCACCAGATTTCTAGAATGGTCCTAGACAAAAAGATTTATGGAACAAAAGAAGAGTGGGAATACCTCGGCTCGGATGGATCGATGGAGTGGAAGCGGATGCCAGGTCCATCTTGGGAATCTGCAATTAGAGAAGACTGACGGACCATGCTGCAGGAGGCCTAGACTCTACAGGAGTTGTAGCGCCATGGATGATGATGGAAAAAAGATAAATGGTGAAATATGCAATGATATATTTGCACAAAAGGAATTCATGCTTCGAAAGAGCACTTTTTGACAATTCTAGGCCATTCTAAAAGCTTAGTATTTTTAAATAACAGCCAATGGGTGCCAAAACTGGGGGTTTTACCTTAATTTTCTTTTAATTAATATTGTTACATTTCAGTTTTACATGTTTTATTCCATATTTGTCTAAAAATATTTCTTCTTCTTTTTCATCATCATTCATACTTTTCAAAGAGGTGATGCTTCATCCTAAGTTTGCCAACCATCCTGACCACGAGTCATCGCTTTTATAGAATTTTCCTTCTTTAAGTCGATCCTGGAGAAGTGTCCATAGCAGTTTAGGTCTTCCTTGAGGATGATCTCTGGTTAGGCTTCAAAAAACTTCTTTAGAATCCTGTTCTCATCCATTAGGAACATATGACCAAACCATCTCAGTTGCCTCTTTTTAACTGGGTCTCGCAAAGTAGGTTCTCCAAGGTCCCCCTGAATCTTCTTATTTTTAACTCTTTCTTCAGATCTTGACAGCCACTCTCCGGACTGACTTCATTTCCGTGGCTGTAGCTCAGCAGTGCCTGACTGGCGGACTCAGCTCTCACTTCTATAGAGGATTGATGGGTAGATGCCCTTAAAGATGTGTAATTTTATACTGTTACCAAACTCTTTTTCCACTAGTGTTGCAAAGCAAATCTAGAAACACTACTGCAGAAGAGAGAGGTACTAAAAATATATAAAACAACATAAATACATGTAGTACACTAACAATTCCATGCAATAATTATTATATTTAGTAAATGGCACCAGAGATCTGAGCACAAAACATTCCTCATAATTTAATCCATTTATTTGGATATCATCTGAACTATGGAAATTAATAGTTATAATAACTTACTATTGAGAGGGAGAGGATTTTCATATTTATGTCCAATATTACACTAATTTAAATAAATAATCAATCTACCAACATTAAATGCTACTCCCACCCTATGAATCACAACTGCATATTTATATTATTAAAGGGTTAAAGAGAATTTTAAATCAATAGGGACAAATAAAATATAATGGAATTCTACATATAACAAAACTAACCATATAAAAATGTATGCAATCATAAATACACACCTCTTCCTACTCACACAAACACATTCTGATAATATGATTATTTAATGATGAGACAATGATAAAGGGTTATTGTTCTTTCACCTTTTTCCCACATTATAAGTCTCAATTACAATAATCAATGATTTGAAAATATTTGTAAACAGTTCAGACCATATTCAAATAAAATGATTAAACAATTAGGTATGTTGTGGGTGTTTGAAATTTTCTAAATAAAATTATTAATATATTGAATTTTTAAAATAATAAATGAATATATAATGTTTTAAATATTTTTAGATGAATAGGGTACTACATATAAAAAAAAATCTATCAAGATGTGATCAGATAAAATCTTTGAGACTACAGGAAAGCAAACAATTTTCATTAAAAGTTTAAGAAGACAATCTAACCATCATAAAATAACTTTTTTGTTTTAAAATGATCCCACTTGAATATTGAATTAAAACGTTAACAACAAAAACAATCGAGAATTTTATTTAGAGTTCTAAAAACTTTTTCTTTTTTTAACACTTAAAATTAATCAAGAAATTTAAATGGTATATCCAATTAAAATCCTTGTAATGCAGAACAGAATGGCAAAGTTATAGTTTTACAGAACAAATAGTTTTGAAACTATTAAGTTTTGGATGTTTCGCATTTTTTTTTTTTTTTGTATGTATGTTTATAAACATATACAAATAAAAAGATGTGGTAAAAAAATAACCTAATATTTTAGATTAAATTATGCATAAAATACAAATACCAAGTTTCATTCATTTTAAAAAACATTAAGTATATAATTACTATTTTTAATGGTTTCCTAGGAAAGAAATGAACCAGCAACAGAATAGTTAATAAATAAAAATATCATGATATGCCATGAAATAAAAAAATAAATACATAGCAAATAAAAAAATTAAATGAATCAACTAAATGAAACAATACAACAAAACACAAATCAATACTCAATACTTTGTTGACAACAAAAGTCAACTAACCCTCATTCTCTTCGTCGATCTTAAGAGCTTTGGAGATATATTCAAATGCTCTTCGGTGATGTTCTTTTTGTTTTAAAAGTTGTGGATCACCAGAGGAAGGTTGTCCAGTGTGCCTCACTTTGTGATTTGCCATTCTATTAATCAAATCTTGACACAGTATTTCAGTAGTTTCCAAGTTTTCAGAACGTTTGGATTTGACAGCAGTTTTGTAAAGAAGTAATTTAGACCTGGATTTCCATATATATCGAATAATGACAAAAATCATGTAAATAATAGATCTCAATAAATTAAAAACAAAAACCAATGGAACTGAAGCTATGTGTAAATTTTTTTCGTGAACTGAGTCCTTATCACCAGGTAAAGAAGATTTTTCTTCCAATTTACGATTCTTTTTAAAACATTTTGGACTTTCTTTATGGAACATTAGAACTTTAAGAAGAAAAAATAAATGATTCGTTGACCTAAATCATAATTTAATATATATTCTTTAAGAAATCCCGGGGGTCAACAAAACCAATTAATAAATATTTAAATAATGGTAACATTTGAGAAAATTTTAAACTTCACCACCTTACGTTGGCCATTGTCAATACCTCGTTCACTTAGGCTTCGTTAATATTTAATACATATGAAAGATGATATTGAAAAACTTTGTTATAAAAATAAAATGGATGAAATATACAGTTGAAAATTTGTAGACATGGTTAGTAAAAGTCTTAATCATTTACAGAAATAGCAAAAAAATCATCATTGTTTGTATCGTTAGTGGTACAAACAGTGAAAAACAAGAGCATCCAATTGATCTTTATTATTCCAATTATTTTATTTATTTTGAATTTAGAATCGTTTCACCGATGAATATACATATTAAAAAATAATTATGTCTGTGAGGGAAAGCGAAGATTCAAATTAAGTAAGGAAGCTTCATAATAAAGACGGGAGGCGGAACTCAGGATTGTGTGTGAAGTACACCAACTGAAGTAAGTTGATATTTATGAATATCTGGGAACTGTCTTCAGTCGGGATGGGAAGATGTACCAAGAAGTTAGGCATAGAGTGCGTAAAGCTAACCAGGTGTTCTTCCAAATTTCCATAACACTCATGGGCAAGCAAGAAGTGAGCAAAGAGGCGTAGCTTTGCATCTTAAAATCTGTCTTCCTCCCGGTCTTGTTATATGGAGTGGAGAACTGGTTACACTTGGACAAGAATTCTCACGAGTGACGTCAGCAGAAATGAGGTATATCAGAAGATTTGCTGGAAAGACAAGAGGAGACTGCGTGAGGAACAGGACAGTTAGAGATCCCCTTGGAGTTAGACATATAAGAGGTGTCATAGAAGAACGCCAGCTCGAGTGGTATGGACATGTCTGCAGGATGGAGGACGAGGGTAGAGCTAGGTCGCTGACGGAGGACAGACCGAGGGGGCACCGACCAGTTGGACGCCCAAGAATCACATATAATAGTTAAATGGATAGAATCGGACGAGAGCGGGGGTAGACCCTGGGGGAGATGAAGAGGAAGGGCCAGGACAACGATACATACCGAAAGTGTGGAGAGACTACTCCACGCTTAACAGCACAAAGGAGATAGAGAAAGAAGAAGAAGCTTCATAATTCAAATGACTATATTGGGTATAATAATAACAGCTCGCAAGGGCAACAGATAGACGCAGTTATTGGAGATTTACACTCTTCCGGGTTCTTGAGTACATCATACCGTTCACAAACGCACACATTTTCTTTTTTTTTACTTGTACCACTACAACCCATGAAGGGTCTTGGGTTCAGTACTATTTAGGGAAAGTACTATTTCAAGGCCAATGGTTGTGCAAAGGGGAGATCGGGCCAGTATCATGCTCCACCGCCAGTTTTCCCACTTAATCCATTATTTAATTAAGGGTACCCACTTTGTAGAGGCTTGTTATGCCCCAGGAGGGTCGCCCTACCCCAGGGTCACCTCACGGCCAATGAAACAGAATAAATAATTTTTCTGCCATGCACTAGGACTCGAACCTGGGACCTTCAGCATTGCAAGCTTAGTGCCCTACCACTGAGCTACCCCGCTCGCAAAAACGCACACATTACAACACACAATAATATATACACTGACACTAGGGAATTTCCAGTACACACCCTAGGACAGCTTTACTTAGGAAGCTCTGGCAGAAATGCAATTTATCCATCAAAAATGGAGTTAAGAAATCAACGTATAGCTTCGGGCGAGCCTAGGAATGAAGCTGCACCAGGCGGGAACACAAGACTGCAAGAACCGGCTACTAGTTCGAGTTCGATCTTAGGCGAGACTATTTCTTCTCCCGCACGAACCCGGCGGGTTGATGAAATGGACGCCAGAAATGAGCAAGGCAGTCATCCAGGCATATCTTTTGGCAACACAATTAGGCACATACAAGAAAAGGGTACCTTTGCAGGATTCAACGGTGTTGGCAAGAGTTATATCGACAGATGACTATAAGTACACAAAGACTTAGTGATCAGGTTAGAGCAATCCTATCGAGAAAATTCCTCACCGCAATGGAAATGAATAAAATAAAAACAATCATATTTGAACCACTACGGATGATAGCTGCTGAGAATAAGAGCGACCCAGTGACGCTATAGAACCTATAGAAATATCTTTGGTGATAGAGGTAGTTTCTTCAGAAGAAGAAGACAAAGAGGTACAAAAACTGATACAGTCATTGTTAGATCAACATATGATTTTTGAAGGAATACCACATGATGTGAGACCCACTCTATGCCTTACAACTTTAGATCGCGAATGACTGTGAAAACGTCAATGAAGCTTTATGTATATTTATTATTGACTACCCCGAAATGGACACTGAAGCTGTTTGTCATTGGACTTTTGTTGCAGCTAAGGTCGTTATTATCGAACTAAGTTTAGGAGAAGATAAACCAAAGAAAGAAAATGGTAATATGAAACTCCCACGCTGGCAGAGAAGATTAGAGAAAAATATAAATAGCTTCGCTTATGTCAATCATTGAGGTAATTACAAGCTATAAGAAATCCTGACTGAGAAAGAACAAAACTAAAAAGAAGGATTGGTGAAATAGTTATATTACAAATAGGAATGGTATTAGAATCTGAGCTCACCGAAAAACTTACTTTACATACGTTGTTACAATTTCTTGTGAACCGTCTCTGCGCCATACCGTGGTATGCAAGGTTCACAAGGGGAACCACAGAGGAATACCACAAAAGGAGGAGAGATGAGAAGAAGGTGCATAAAGAAAACAAACAATGGGGAATCGAGGCACTAAAGAAATAGGAGCTCACAAGAGTCAGAATGAAAACAGGCTCTTCTTTCAGAAGGTGTGCATTGGGAGATTGGTAGAGCCCCTTTTAATCCTAAAATTTAAGTATGCAAAAAAGAAGATGGGACTCTCTTGAACAGTAAGGACGAGAAACTTTATCGGCGGGTAAGGCACTTTAGTGGTCTGCTGAATGAACAGGTTACTGAGCCCGGAGCGGGAGAGGAAAATGAAGAAGATGTTGAGCCACCAGATTTGGAAGAGGTTGTAGATGCAATCCAGAAAATAAGGAACCATAAGGCACCAGGTAAGGACGGATTTCCTACAGAATTGTTTAAATATGAAATGAAATGAAAATATTTTTTTTTATTATCCTGGGACTGTTGTCCCTATAGGACAAATTACAGTTACAGAATAAATGCCTGTGTGGCCATTCATAAAATTAATTATTTACGATTCTTATTACAATTAAAATTTTGGAAAAAGAATAAAACTAAAATAGAACTATTGCTCTAAAAACATACTGATATGTATAATACAAACATGGCAAATAGCATAAGTAAAGAAAATCATTTCTGGGGGTACTTTAAAAGTTCTCTTATCTACATTTCATGATCAATCGGGTTGGGAAAGGAGTTGGTGGTTAAAAAGGGGAGATTTAAATGAGGAAACTGATTGTACATGTCGGATATAGAGAAGAATGGTATTCCAGAAGGAGGCGGCTTGAATTATAAAGGATTTGTCAAACGCTGCAGTTCGGTGGGGAGATGGATAAAGGTCGGAGGAACGAGATTGAATGGAATATTTGAATTGTAGTCTGTGAAAAATATAGGAAGGCCGCTGAGTTCTGAAGACTTGGTATAGAAAGTACAGACGACGGTTGGATGGATAGAGCCACTTCAACTTGGTGTAATACTGGGTTATATGCGTATCTCTTGAGATTCCGAAAACAAAACGTATTGCGATGTTCATTAGGCGTTTAAAATTGGCCTCGAATTCGCCCGAGCATCTGCCGTACACTAGACAGCCATAGTTGAAGTGGGGAAACACAAGGGAGGAAACCAGGAGTTGACGAGATTTATATGGAAGGAGATAGCGGAGACGGTTGAACTGTTTCAGGGTAGAGATAGTACGACGGGAAACTTTGGAGATGTGTGGTTTCCAGGAGAGGGTTTGATCGAATGTAACGCCAAGGTTTTTTTACGGAAGTATGGAATGAAATAGGTGAGTTGTTCAGGAAAAGATTGGGGAGTGTCTTTAAGGATTTGAGGAGTGAGGGAGATCCGACCAGGATGGCTTTCGTCTTCTTGGCGTTTAGAGTAATCCTATTGTGATTTGCTCAGGCACATATTGCGTTTATATCTTCCTGTAATTTTTGGATGGCGTCGGAGGATTCGGTTGGATTGAAGAAGAGGTAAATCTGGACGTCGTCGGCGTACAGATGGCATTGAAAGTGTAGGATAGAGGACGAAGGGTCATTGATGTAGATGGAAAAAAGAGTGGGAGATAAAGAGGAGCCTTGTGGGACACCCCTGGACAAGGGTAAAGATTCTGATGGGGGGGTTATTGGGGACTACATGAATCTGGGTGAATGATTGGAACCATTTAAGGGTACTAGTTGAGAAGGAAATATTTTTAAGCTTGGTTATGAGAATTTTGTGGTCTACTGAGTCAATAGCTTTGGAGAAGTCAAGGAGAATAAGGAAGGTGAGTTTCTGATGGTCAATGGCTGTATGAAGGTCTTAGGAAATTTTGATGAGGGCAGACTGAGTGGAGTAGCCAGGCCGAAAATCGGACTGGTTGGGATTTAGGAGGTTATTCTGTTCTAAAAAATCGGATACCTGGGTTTGAACTAGTCGCTCTAAAGGTTTGGAAAGATTTGAGAGGAGAGAAATTGGACGGAAATCATTAAGAGTTGATGGGTTTGAAGTCTTCTTCATAGGGCGAACTAGTACGGTTTTCCAGGATGTAGGAAAGGTAGCGTTTTGTAGTGAGTAATTGTAGATATGGTAGAGGATTGGAAGGATGGATAGTAGTGAGGCTTTGATCAGTCTGACTGGGATGTTATCGGGTCCATAATCATTGGTTTGCGACTTTTGAGTGGAGTTGAGGAGGTCATCAGGTGTAATATGGTAAAAAAGAATTAATCAGGATTAAAATTTATAGTTAAACACATAGGAACCGGAGATGAGGACGAGAAAGTACAGGAGACAAAATGAGCGTTAAGGTCATCAGCAGAAATGGAAATGAGTTACCCTAGGCCGTCCAGAACCGACCCTTCTATTTTAAGAACCAGTTTCCCGAAAACGCCTGACGGCGTCTCGTAAAGTTTCATATGGAACTCCGATGGCATTAGCTGCATATCTAATGGAACGTACATCATCAATAAGTGC